GTCCCACCGTAGAGAGGAGCTCGGACCCACCGGGTCCCACCAAGTACGTATCGGCACGCGTGCAAAGCTGGTGGTTTCGAGGGCGCGATTTTGGGTCCAGAACATGTTCATGCTTCCGGCTTCAACATAGCGTGCCTCCATAGTAGGGCAACACCGATCGGAGAAGGCCACACAAGTTTGCACGACGAGCAAAAACTTCAAGGCAAAATTGGGTAAGCGCGCCGCGAAATGCACCAATGGCGAGACAAGCACAGGTGAATGCACAGGCGACCAAGACGAAACTGCACAGCATAAGCGAAGAGGTCACCTGTGCAAGCATACAGTCACTCGGTGCCAGAGGAATTGTGTGCAACCATGGCAAGGGCCTTGTGCTCGCCTGGCTTGCAACACGCATGTTTGAACTTGCACTTTGCTCCAGCCCCGCACACACGCAAGTTGAAATTAAAGCAAATGTGCTTGTTATCGGGCGTGCGCGGGTGCGTGCCCCGCAAGCCCTTTAGGATGTGATCACGCATGACCCTTGCTTTCTTGCTTGGGGCCTGACCGGCATCCGAGCCCTGCTTCACATCTGTTCCAAGGCCAGTGCCACCAGTGCTTTGGCCCGTGCTATCCCAGCGTTTGCCTGGGTCTTTGCCTCTTCCCGTCACCAGGAGCAAAGAGCCTGTGACAAGCGAGTGGAATTTGAGCTCCTTGAACTCCTCGTCGAGGGGCAATGCACCTGTGGAGCCAGACGTTAGGTCCCCAACGCAGATGCAAGCAAGCTCCAGGAGGCACCGGCGATCCAATTGCAACACCTGGTCTCTTGCAACCTCTTGAAATTCCGGATAAGGCTCACGGCTCAAAACTTGGAACAAGGGCCCGTTCCACCGTTGCTCAGCAACACAATCAGCAAACCCCACAAGGTCCACAACACGGGCTCCCCCGACCGCGGCCGGGCAAGGCCGCAAGTCTGTGTCAAGGGTCAAAGCGGCAGCCGCTGCCTCGTCCTTGAGAATCAGGTTTCTATCCGTGCCAGGTTGCAAGGCTTTAAGAGGCCTTTCAGAGCATATCTCAGCGTTGCAAGTCAAGCCCTCACTGAGGAGGAGATATGTAAGCACTACATCGTCACGCATAGTTGCCAACGTATCATACACACCGTGAGCAACAGTAAGAGGGCCTCCTAAGGGGAGGCCAACCAATTCCTGCTTTCGGGCTTTGATGTGCACAGAACGCTCTGAAGCATACGGCTTGCGAGGCACCTCCTCCGCAGATTGCAATGCCGAACGAAGCTCAGCTACTGTCATGGTTTGCACCTCAAAAGTAAGCTGCTTCACAGCCGAGCGTTCACACGGTCACCGGCAGATGGTTGAGTGCACAAAAGCGACAGTGCACAACTCGGCATCCCCTGAGCGGTGACCCCTGTAGCCCTCAAGACAACAACCCAAACCCGCGTAAGCCCCACTCCCTCGCACTGGCGGTCGAAAGCAGCAGTCGCAGACAAGACTGAGGCAGCCGCCATGGTGCTGAGAGCACAAGATGATACGTTTTGCTAACGCAACCCAACCGGCACACCGAGAGATGCTACAGACAAAAACAACGAAGTGAGACAGGGACAGTGTAAGCTTCACACGATTCGTGTCAACATGCATGCATGTCTCTACCGCAAACTGCACACAGCCGGCGAGCATCAAGATATGTCTGATCTGCAACAAACATGCACAAGTCAGACAGCTCATTGACGACCGCATACTGGTCACGAGAGCACACTCCCGAATGTTTTGCGCGCAGTGCAATCATCTGCGCTCCGCAAGCACATCCAGCCGCACAGCCATTGCTCCGTTGGAAGTGAGTAGCTCCCTCCAGCACACGGCACACCGTGGCTACTAAAAACGCTCCACCGAGCTATCTGTACACCCGTGAGGTCCTTCGACCACAATGGGATTTTGGAGGCATCACACAACGGAGCATCCTGGGTGTCACACTGGTCAACACGGTTTGTCACCCTCAGCGGTTGGACAAGCCTGTACCTAGCAAGAGTCTGTTCTTCGGTCTTGCTGGCCTTCCAGGAGCTCGAGCACGATGAGGAAGATGATCATCCGAGTAGGCGAGCCAGGTTGGTCGATTGCCCCAACGACACCTCAGCGTTGCCTACTCGCAGAGCCACCAGTGTTTGGCAAACCCTCATTGTCGCAGCCAACCAGTCAGCTCAAAGTCCGCAGCCACAGCAAGCAGAGCTGGAGCCTGTAAGAGTTGGGTCAGTGGGTTGAGCTGGAATATCATACTACAACCAATCGGAAGACCAGTCCTCTCTCTTATATCCATGTTTCAAAACTGCGCCATGTTACGGTGTAGTCTCTGGCTGTTTCGTTCATAGGGTAAGTCCTTCTTCCCGACTCCGGCCGGAACTCGCTCCGAAACGTGGCCTAGGAGGCCCAGGGCTGCATTTTAGAACGCCCGAAAGTGCGCGCAAAGTCCA